AATATCTTCCAGATCTTGTTATCTACCAGTCCTATGATCACACCGTTTGTATAATATCTTCCAGATCTTGTTATCTACCAGTCCTATGATCACACCGTTTGTATAATATCTTCCAGATCTTGTTATCTACTAGTCCTATGATCACGCTGTTTGTATAATACCTTCCAGATCTTGTTATCTACTAGTCCTATGATCACGCTGTTTGTATAATACCTTCCAGATCTTGTTATCTACTAGTCCTTTGATCACAATGTTTGTAGACTCAAGTGCGTTTTTTATATTCCTAATTCTCAGGTGAACATCGTGGTGGGAACTGGTCACGGAGTTCGACTGTTTCCTTCTCGTCTGTACGAAGTTAGTGTTCGGGAAAATGGACTGGCGCCACTGGTCATCTTGGACTTGAACTCCACCGATGAGATCGCTTACAAGCCTGTCAAATACAGTATAGCTACCCAAGAAGTTAAAGGTTTGTTCGCAGTCGAAGTTAAATCTAAATCTATATGTAGGCTGATAAAACGTTTTAACTGTCTACATGAGTTGACGACAAACAATTGACAGATGGAGAAAATACAGTAAAACAAATGAATAAGATTAATACGTACAATATATGACAAGGCTATCAATGCAGTTTAAACAAATTAACTGTTTAATGTTCGAGGCGCTGACGAAAAGTCGAACCTTGTTAGTATAATGATGGCGCTGACGAAACGTTAAACCTTGTTAGTGCAATGATGGCGCTAACGAAACGTTAAACCTTGTTAGTGCAATGATTGCGTTAACGAAACGTTAAACCTTGTTAGGGCAATGATGGAGCTGACGAAACGTTAAACATTGTTAGTGCAATGATTGCGTTGACGAAACGTTAAACCTTGTTAGTATAATGATGGCGCTGACGAAACGTTAAACCTTCTTAGTGCAATGATGGCGCTAACGAAACGTTAAACATTGTTAGTGCAATGATGGAGCTAATGAAACGTTAAACCTTGTTAGTGTAATGATGGCGCTGACGAAACGTTAAACCTTGTTAGTGCAATGATGGCGCTGACGAAACGTTAAACCTTGTTAGTGCAATGATGGCGCTAACGAAACGTTAAACCTTGTTAATGCAATGATGGAGCTGACGAAACGTTAAACATTGTTAGTGTGATGATGGCGTTAACAAAACGTTGAATACTGGTGTTACTACTGATTTTATAATGGGATATCTCCACATTTCATCAATGAATAATCATTTTACACGTAATTTCAAATTCACTCCTGAACAAAGTTAATTCAGTAGAAACTATGTCTGTAAAATATGTTATTAAAAGTTTTGAAGTCAATAGTTATCCCCCCCCCCTTTCAAGTTAAACATAACTTATTACAGTTTATTATGGATGACAATAAGCTGGTTTAACATAGTTATTTCGTCTTCAGAATTTGGTGATGTAACTAAACCTAGTATCTTTTCTACAGGTTTGTTCGCGGTGGAATCCCATTCTGGCCAGCTGTCGATCACCTCGAGTTTGGACAGGGAGAAAAAAGGAAACTATACCGTGAAGGTCAGAGTAGAAGACACCAGTAAACGACACAGGAGATCAGGTACGTCACTTGCTCTAGCACCAATAGCAAACACAGCACAAGACACGAGTAAACGACACAGGAGATCAGGTACGTCACTTCCTGTATCGTCACTCGCTGTAGGACCAATAGCAAACACCGCAGAAGACACGAGTAAACGACACAGGAGATCAGGTACGTCACTTCCTGTATCGTCACTTGCTCTTGCACCAATAGCAAACACAGTACAAGACACGAGTAAACGACACAGGAGATCAGGTACGTCACTTCCTGTATCGTCACTCGCTGTAGCACCAATAGCAAACAGAGTAGAACACACGAGTAAACTACACAGGAGATCATGTACGTCACTTCCTGCATCGTCAAATGTTAAATACAATTATTCTAGAGCTCATAATAAAACAGAGAATGTTTAGAAATCCGATATTATATGCATTATATAAAATAATTTAGTACAAATTCAGCATTTCAACAAGAATTATTCATATTTGCACTTGGAAATTTGTTTTTCTTATATAGTGCATTTTCCTGAAACGTCTGCCCTTAAAGTTAAAGCTTTCTAGCGTAGGGCTCAGATTCTTGAAGTTTATTACTAGACGTAGCGTCGTTTCTGAGTGCCGCGAGTTTTTCTACAAATAGTTTACCGATTTCTTTCGTTTTTATAGGTGAGGAACTACATATACTATCTCATCACCTGGCTTTTGATGAGGCCTTGGTATTAGTAAAAGTATTGGACGAAAATGACAATTCGCCTGTCTTTGAAAATAGCGGACGCCCCCTGGTGGCAGCTGTTCCGTTGGAAGGTGCATTTGGTTACAAAGTCACCCAAGTTAAGGTAATATTAGACAGATAGATAGATATATAGATAGAGAGACATTTTAAAAATTCAAATATGTATCGACATGATTTGTTTTCCTTTGTTTTAGGCTACAGATATTGACGAAGGTTACAATGGAGAGGTTAGATATAAAATTGTACAGAAAGAAAAGGACGCTTCCTCCAAGTTCCATATCGACCCAGTTACCGGTATTATTCGGTCAACTGTGACCTTTTCCCTGGACACAGTCCGGCTGTTCAAATTTGATATTAAGGCCACAGATCGAGAGGGCAGTGACGACGGAAACAGCGCTTTGACTAGCGTGTTTGTAAGTATTTTGTTTATACTGACCTACGATCACGTTGGGGGTTCAGTTGACTGACCTCCTACGACTGTACGAAGGCGATTTTCTTTGTCACTGAAACACAAGTATAACTTCAAAAGCAAATCTTAAAACTAATTGAATTCATACAGTTACGAAAATCTTCCAAAAGATGGCGCTGAAGTATACCAGTTGTGGTATCGCTGTGGATTAAAAAGTACATCATTTGTTTACTTTACAATTGTATCTAGTGGTTATTCCTTCTGATTGATTGGGCATAAACATGCAATTAATTCTGTATAATTATCATTCTTGTCACCAGGTGGCAGCATTGTATCTAGTGGTTATCCCTTCTGATTGATTGGCCATAAACATGCAATTAATTCTGTATAATTATCATTCTTGTCACTAGGTGGCAGCATTATTAGTAGAGTCTTACTTCCATGCTTATATGTGGAACTTGAAATTGCTTAGGTCTAAACGTATTGAGCTCGACAAATTACCCAAAACCTATAATTTGAAAAAATATTTTTGTGTATGGATTTTTGTTTCTCGCAAGAGATACATCATAGAAAATTAATATCCGCCCTTCGAACTACTTAAATTTCCAAATAAAAAAATTGGTTCCATAATAGCGTTTCAGTTGTTATTTCCTGAAAAACTAAACAAATAAAAGAGCCTCCAATATACTGATCAAAAACTCGTTTAACTTGTCGAAGTAAACGACGAAATATTTCAATCCAGCTAAGCCTAACTTGTTCCACAACCTGACCACATTAACAGTTTAACCTTAAACTACTTTTTAATTAAAAACTTGTACGTTCTACACAAAGTAGACACTGTGACACCTACTTCACACACTGATCCGCGTAATATTTAGTTACTTGTCAACTTTTTCGGTTAACCTACAGTTAGAGTTATACACTACAAAGGTACAGAAACCAGTTCGAGAAATATATAAATAACACGAAGTCCAGTAATTTGCTGTTATACGTTTAAAATGTTGACGGATATAAATATTAATTCAACTTTATTTACTGGTATGTTGGTTTTTTTTATCCTTGTATATTTTCAAAATATGTAGGAAATTTAAAGAAAGTCTGCACAAACAAACACACATGCACTAATGGGGGAAATAAAGTGTACTTGAGAACAAAAACACAAACTTACAGTGTATGTAACAAGTATTGGTATACATACACATAAAAGTGGTTCTAGTTAAAACAACGAAATTCTCCATTGTTGACTTTAGCAGTTATTCGTTAAATATGAAATAGCAGGTTAAGATACATACTCATTATTGACTTTAGCAGTTATTCGTTAAATATGAAATAGCAGGTTAAGATACATACTCATTGTTGACTTTAGCAGTTATTCGTTAAACATGAAATAGCAGGTTAAGATACATACTCATCTCATTGTTGACTTTAGCAGTTATTCGTTAAACATGAAATAGCAGGTTAAGATACATACTCATCTCATTGTTGACTTTAGCAGTTATTCGTTAAACATGAAATAGCAGGTTAAGATACATACTCATCTCATTGTTTACTTTAGCAGTTATTCGTTAAATATGAAATAGCAGGTTAAGATACATACTCATTGTTGACTTTCGCAGTTATTAGTTAAATATGAAATAGCAAGTTAAGATGCATACTCATCTCATTATTGACTTTAGCAGTTATTCGTTAAATATGAAATAGCAAGTTAAGATGCATACTCATCTCATTATTGACTTTAGCAGTTATTCGTTAAATATGAACCTGCTATTTCATATTTAACGAATAACTGCTAAAGTCAATAATGAGATGAGTATGCATCTTAACTTGCTATTTAAGATACATACTCATTGTTGACTTTAGCAGTTATTCGTTAAATATGAAATAGCGGGTTAAGATACATACTCATTGTTGACGCTATTTCATGTTTAACAAATAACTGCTAATGTCAACGAGTATGTATCTTAACCCGCTGTTTCATGTTTAACGAATAACTGCTAAAGTCAACAATGAGTATGTATCTTAACCCGCTATTTCATGTTTAACGAATAACTGCTAAAGTCAACAATGAGTATGTATCTTAACCCGCTATTTCATGTTTAACGAATAACTGCTAGATGAACTATGGATTGTACAGTGTACGTGAAGTAAGTTATTTGTTTTATAGTTGAACTATGGATTGTATTCAAATTGAATAGTGAAAACGTTAAACCCCATTACTCACTTTAAAATAGTATCCAGCCGCTCCTCCACTTGTATAGGGTTATTTTCAGTAACAAAGAGTACCAGTTTGGTTTCAGGAAGAACGTAGATCTGAGATATAATAAAATTGGTGAAGTCAAACTTTCTGCAGGAAATGTTTAATTAAAACTGATGCTACATTTTTACGTTTCTTCTTTTAACAGAAAGATTGTTGTTATATTATAGTTACAAACGTAATAACACATCATGAATATGTAAAGAAGGTATTATTAAATAACTTTCAAAACCTTTAGAAAAAATAGAAGTATTATTACAGTTTTATAACATGGAAAGAATTAATGTACCACAAATATTGATTCCAAATTCACGCATTATAAAAATTAAGTATGCATCCTACAATAATATTTAACAAGTATTGACCCTAACTATATCAAACTATAACATTTTCTTGTACATCGCCTCGAAGCATTTGAGTATGTATCTTAACTTCCTATTTCATGTTTAACGAATAATTGCGAAAGTCAACAATGAGTATATATCTTAACCTTTAAAACAAATAACTTACTTCACGTACACTGTACAATCCATAGTTCATCTTTAAAACAAATAACTTACTTCACGTACACTGTACAATCCATAGTTCATCTTTAAAACAAATAACTTACTTCACGTACACTGTACAATCCATAGTTCATCTTTAAAACAAATATCGTACTTCACGTACACTGTACAATCTATAATTCATCTATAAAAATATCGTACTTCACGTACACTGTATAATCCATAATTCATCTATAAAAATATCGTGCTTCACGTACACTGTATAATCCATAATTCATCTATAAAAATATCGTACTTCACGTACACTGTATAATCCATAATTTATCCATAAAAATATCGTACTTCACGTACACTGTAAAATGTATAAAAATAAAGTATTATATAAAAACATGATTTAAAAAAATTAACACACTAAAAAGTCAATGTAACATCATCGTATCTTTTATTAAAAAAAATAGGAATCTGGCCACCAGGGGCATCAAATATCAACACTAAAGTTACTAAAAAATAAAGGTGACTTGCCACTGAATTATATCGCTGTAGACGAACTCAACCTCTGAATAAGAGCAAATCGAAAGGATATGACACTTCAAAAACACTATACTTTGTTAAAGACTTACTAACCTGTAACAAGGCCGATTAGACCAGAAGTAGTTAGACGAGATGATGAATTAGTCCTTCTCACACACATTTACTCTGGAATTTGAGGAAGCTATATTCAATTTATATACTGATTAATATATATCCAGTTGCTAGTTTGAGGAAGCTGTACCGAGTTGAAATCAAGAACTTGAAAACGTTCCACATCATTGACCTAGTTAAAGATAGTTTCAAGTTCAAGAAATAAATTCAAACACACACACTCGAACACCTCCCAGTTAATAAAAGTAACAAAACTAGGTGAACTATAGTGATTAAAGTACGTACAAACTAAAAAGGTGCGTTCTTTAAAACAAGAGCTATTCAAAACATGAGTGTATTTCTTCTGTTACAAAAACAACTAACTACACCTTCATCCAATCACACGACCTCAAACCTAGTAGTACTAGTACAACCCTAGGCTACGACGAACTTGCTAGTACTAGTAGTCGCCATTTAACAATTTAAAACTCAAAAACTAAATATTTACAAATATCTTGTCACCTAAACTTTTATTAAAAGATAACGCTTTCAAAACGAGCTAAATCATTTATTAACAAATAAACGGAATATATTTTTTATTACATTGCAAATCCACCAATTAATTTATTCATAAAAATTTCAATAATTTCAGTTTTAAGTTACCCGAACGCATCAAAATTGTACAAGTAACAACCGTTACCCTCGAAAGGAACACTTAATTGATTGCTAAAATAAAAATAAGAACAGATTTAAAAAACAATTACCTTTCGAGAATTATCTATTTGTGTTTGCGAATTAGGCCGATTTTTACCTCCTCAGGCTAAATCTACCAGCTTTCTGGCCACCGTGTACTTGTAATAAAACTAAGAGTTCTTGTAATTTAAATAGCAGCGTCCCCTTTTGCCGACATAAAACTGAATTTTAAACGTTTTAAAAATCTGTTTGTTTCATCCAATACGAGTTTTTCCGCCATCGGATTTTTTGTATCCCTTGAAAGTTACACGTTTTAGTTACATAAATAACACAAATAAACTGGATTTGAGCAAATTTTTTAAAATTTTATTGGAAGTTATCTGTATCCTAGCCTTTGTGGTTGTTTGCATTCCGTAGCACTGGATTGCTGGTAACTGTTAATAATCTAAAACAACACTGTATTCAGCTCTTAACATAAAATATCACTAAACTGTCACTGTTATGCATCTGTTTTAATGAAAACAAATCTAAAGAGCATTAAAGGAGGTGTGGCCACTGTACGCTTTTATTAATCTCAACAGTGGCGATTTAAGGGAAATAGCCTACTTTGCTTTTAGTTTACGATTTTTGTACACTTTCATAAGCCTATTTTTTTTTTCTGATCTCACACTCAGATTGAAATATTTACACTTTCATAAGCCTATTTTTTTTCTGATCTCACACTCAGATAGAAATATTTACACCTTAATATTTTAACTCCCACTAGTATATGTTTTAAACAGTATCTTATTTCTATTCATTATTTTTATCTGTATAACAATATTGTATTTTTTTACATTCTTTAGAATTTAGACAGCAGCAACGTAGAGCCAAAAAAGTATGAGGAAAATATAATTAACTTGATCGCTTTCGAAAGTTAAAGCTTTTTCAAAGATGGAGATACTTGTTGTTTTGTATGTTATTATAATGAGAAAATGACTTGTTTGCACTCTATGGAATAAATCATTTACTTAATCTAGTTCACGTGTTAATAAACAGTCATTGTTCAGGAAAGTTGGGGATATGAATAGCACTTCGACTAATATTATGTCTGTCCAGCCGGCCTGATAAACTCTGGTATTAGGCGAAAGTCCTCGTTGGCACTGGACGTGGCAGATGGTTGACATATTATAACATATTATTCTTTGCTTTCACTTATAAGTTCCTAGAATTATAATTTTTATTCAAAACTGCTTGATGCGCCGAAAAGGGGACTTTGGAGTCAAACTATTCAGTCGAATTTGTCTGTGTAGGTAATTATAAAAGTTTATTTGGTTTTAATATCTAAGTTTTAGATTGATATGTTTTGATTTTATTATAGATATAAAGAGTGCTATTATAATTTATTATCGTATAATTGAAGGTTATATCACCTGAAGTACGATTTAAAAACTCCAAACACTGCTTACGGAAACAGAAAAATGTACCTCATTTATCTTTATCTTTTTAACCAGACTTGCAGAATTACAATATATGTATAAAATACAAAATTAATAATTGTAAGATATGGTTCCTACACAAGAATCATTTTATTTTTAATCAAGTTGTTCTTTGTTGGTTTTTTTTTTCTTCATGAAATTCAGGTACTTGAGTAAAGTCACTAAATATGAAGTGAAAATGGCGAAACTAGCGCCACATCAGGAAAGAGACATTGAACATCCTGAAGCGTGAGTACATGCTGTTGCGAATTTTATAAAACGTGATTTAACAAGTAACATAAAGTAAGCGGAACAACAATGCAATTATTACTTATTAAAATAAGCAATATAAAAAAGTAGCACAAACTAAACACTGATCGAACAAAGCCCGAAAATGGTCTTTTTTGCTGTAAATTGAGGATATTTTGAATATTGTTCTTTCTTTCTGAAATTAAATCTACAAAATTATAAGCCTGTTGAAATTCAAACTGTCATTAACTCAAAGCAGTGTTAAGACTTAAAAGTATCAGTGAGAAGGATATGTATTTTTTGTAAAATTTAACTATTTGATATTTAACTATTAGTGATCAATATCTTCCTCTGGTGATAAATAAATAAAGGAAACTGTAGTGGAATGGCTGATATGTATCCAGTTATGTGGTAATTGATAGAGTCATGTGATAGGTCACGAAAGAAACCACTCCCACATGAGTACGTCCATCACGCAATCTGTATTTCCTGACCAATGAAAACTACTGATAAAGAACGTTCTCAAGAATCTTTCTTGTAAGAATATACAGTTGGGATAGTCGAAATGAATCAGAGCCTTGATGTCATCTCAAATAAAAAGAGAGTATCGACAATGCCATTAAATAAAATTGGTCATTTTTAACTAGAAGATTTAGGTTTTCTCTATGGGGAGAATTTTGAATTTATAACGCTCCAATGTTTATCATGTGTGTATCTTTTTGAACCCTTAGGCTAGTCTATCTCTGTAGGGCCAGTTGTGGCGATGGTGGTGGTGAAAGACTGGTCAGCATCTTCTGTGTAAAATGATGTCATTGCTGCACAACAGTCCTACAGTTAAGGATTTGTGAGAAAGGTGGTTGCCTATTAAGGTCACAAGGTAGTAGGGACACAGAGGTAGATACCTCTACGAGAGTCGACAGAACTCTTACAAGGGGTGATAAAGATTCAGAAGGAGATACAGAGATTAAAGTCTGTACCCCAATTGGAAATGTGAAAGCAACAACCAACTTCTTGTACTTCCTTTTCATTCTTTCATTTTGGATATGATTGTGAGTAAAAAGGGTATGAGGTATTATAGTTGATGCAAAATGGTTCAGCATTTAGTCATTAGTGTTATAACCCTTAGCATCACAATGGACACAGGCATGTATAATATGACATAAGTTTTGGAATGCCCAAACCAGTGACAATTTATACATCTGAGCAGATTTAGAATATATCTCTATATATATCTGGTTGAGCATAGCAATTCAGATAAACTGCCTTGACAGTGGTGGAAAGACTGAGTGGGGAGAATTGGAGAATAGGAATACTTGTAAGCTCATACTTTCCGTTATTAACACAGAAATTCACCGGACAGCTGTAATACCCTGGTCCGGTATTTCTTTAAGGATTTCTTTCTCTGGGCCACCGAGATCTAATTTTGATATAGCTCCCTAGGAGGAGTTAAGGGTATTATGGCATGACCTCAATAAGAAATCCTCCATAAGCTTTTCAAATTAGAATTAGTTTGCTGTTCTTGTGCTTCAATTAATATGTTCCTTAAATCAATTCTGGAAGAGCCACGAAGCCTCTCCTAGCCCTTCAGAACAAAGAATGTTGACATTTTACCTAGTATTCTTTCAGACAGAGGCTGTACAATAAAGAACAACAGGGGTTGTTTTTATTCTTCAAACGTAGGACATGTTGCAGTTTGCTATCCCTTTAAGGTCTCATCACTAAATATTTTTTAGTTTTCATACAGGAAAATATATAGTACTACAGGCTTCATCCACCATGGAAGATACTACACTGTCAAAAACAAGATAGTGCAGCCCCCCCCCCCCCATGGCACTAGTGGAGAACGTTCATTTTGGGTGTACTATACACTATATCCAGTGCTACTTTTTGAATACAGTACCCATGAAATTCTAGTGTTGGGTGGAAAGTTGACCCCTTCATATCACTTCTGGGGGCCGTAGGAGTTACCATGACAAGTTTGGGGTGTTTGGTCAAATAGTGTGCGAGGAGTTAGTGGACAGACAAACATAGAATTTCGCTTATAATTTATTTTTTTACTGAAGTTATTATTTAGGTGCAATTTTCTAACATTCTTCACACTCCTAAATTAATTTACGTTACTGTATGATGATTTCCATAGGCATTGTTTTAAGAATACTGTGGTAAATCCTGCTGGTGTACTTCAGTTCACACGAGAACGGTTAGAACATTTTCCTTTGTATACACTCGGGACATGAACCAATTGAAGCATCTGGAGCATTTTGAGGTATTTTATGATAATTCAGATGCTTCAAGAATTTAGAAGGTAGAAATCTCATAAAGTTTCATGTGTGGCACACACAAATGCAATAAGAAGAAAAATTGTAGTGAATGCATAGAGAACGACGCTTGACCAAGAAAGGAAATGTATACGTCAAACATAAACTAAGGTGCTTCCAGGCGGCATAGAACCAACTGTTTATCTTACCAACATAAACAGACGCAACTGTAGCAGAGAGAGAGCTATGAGAAAGTTTATGGTAGCTTCTTTAAAGGCAGGAAATGAATTCTATAAAGATATTTAGAAATGAAACCAGAGACTCTGGGTGGAAATTTGATCGGAAGGAAGACGAGGAGAAATACATGTAAGAAGGCTGACAATCAACTGCCTTCGATCATAACCAATTATTGGGTTAGTTTTGGTTTTAGTTCCGAGAATTATAAAATTCAACTAATTAAGTGATAGATCTACTTGCGAGTTGATGTGTACACTATTTGGAAAATCGTAAGAATACTAAAGAAAATTGTATAAGAACCCATGTTTTGGGGCTCAAAATCAGTTCTTCGAAGCTGACAACAAAGCCAGTAGACCTGCTATTAGTCTGTTATCCAATCTTACCAGCTTCAGACATAATGAAGTCAACGGTCCTTCAGCAGATCCAGAAGTGGCTGGAGACGGCTTGAATGGGTAATGAAGAAAAACTTTAACATAACAGCAAATGTACAACGTTTCGACAAGGTTTTGTCATCACCAGCCATTATTAGTCTCAAAGTGGGTTCCTCGTCATCGAATATTGTGATAGTTTTGTTGCTAAGCGACGATATATAGTGTTGAGTAGTACCAAAAGGAGCGTAACACGAAGATAGAAACTGAATTAAAATTCAAAAATTAGTTTTTGTTATCACAATATTGTTTTTAGGCCAACAATGTTGTTTATGTTAAATGCGTAACGTACATGTTAATTTGTAGTTTATTTTTATTTTCTCCGTTTTTAATAACTTCTGTGATATAAAAGCAAATGGTTTAGTTCAGAAACTTCTTCTTAAGTTTGTATTGGAAAGTTTCTAATCAATCAATCAAACAACTACAACATTACTATTCCAGACAAATGTGGTAACTTGGTTAACTAAGAAAGCAGAAGAGCTAAAGAAAATATGTTCCCTAATATTTATCAAAATATTAATGGTTGTGTAAAAGTAGTAATTCTTCACCTCCAAATGATATTGTTCATCACATAAGTTATCAATTATCGTAAAAGGTTTCCAGACAGGATTTCACCTACAGCTCAACTGTCAGTGTTCCACTAACAGTTGATGCTGTAAATTACCGAACTGAATTCCTAGATTCTGTTGAACCACCAAGGATGCCAGGTCACATTCTGAAATTAAAGGTTGGTTTCCCAATAATGTTGTTGAGAAATCTTGAGCCTCCAAAATTATGTAATGACACAAGTTTAGTTGTTAACACTTTACTGTCACATGTTATTGTATCATCTGGTCATGCCAAAGGTGAAAATTTCATTCCAAGAATTCCTTTGCTACCAAGTGATTACCTCTTTGAATTTAAAAGGCTCCAATTCCCAGTTACAATTTGCTTTGCAACGTCAATTAATAAGGCACAAGGTCAAATTTCAAAGGTTTCTAGATTGCTCCTAACACAGCCTTGCTTTTCACATGGTCAGTTCTATGTAGGATGTTCAAGGGTTGGATTTCATCAAAACCTGTTTATATTGTCAGAAGAAGAAACAACAGTCGATGTGGTATATCAAGAAGCTTCAATTCAAATTGTGTAATTTTTGTTTTGAAATTTAAAGGTTTAGATAAAAATAAAAATGTTATGAAAACTGACTATTTTAAATAACTGTTCTTAAAAGAAATTTCATTGTGTTTTTAAATACCTATTGCAAGTAATTTGGACACCTGTGCAAGGAACGGATAATTCAGCTAATATGTATATATATACTCATTCTTTAATGGAGTTTGTTTTATTTCAGAACTGATTTGTACGTTTATGGAGTTAATCACGAAACAAATAAGATCGTTGAAACCGAAGACCTCCTAAAGTAAGTACACTTTCCTGATGAAACTACAGTTTCTGTTTCTTGATCTTAAACTATAAGTAAGTACACTTTCCTGATGAAACTACAGTTTATGTTTCTTGATCTTAAACTATAAGTAAGTACACTTTCCTGATGAAACTAC